TCCCTCCCCCTCTAGCTTTCCCTTTCCCTCTCCCTCTGACTTTTGCTTCCCTGTTCTGCCACCCTCTCTCACTCCTAAATCTGTCTCAAGTTCACTCTCCCCTCCCACATTAAACCTTGCATTTCCCCTCTCCCACTCCCCTCCTCTTCCTCCTTAAACTCCCCCACCTACGCATCCTCCCTTATCCCCTCCCTTTTTTCCCCCATCCTTCTCTCTCTTTTCCTCCCCTCCCCCTTCCCCTTCTTCTTCCACTCACTTTCCCCTTCTCCATAACTCTCCTCTCTAAACCTCTTTCCCCTCTCCTCTTTGAGCTCTCTTCCCGTTCCTTTGTCCTTTTCCTCTCTTTCTTCTTTAAGTCCCCTTTCTCCTTTCCATTACTTCCCATTCCCCTCCTCCCATCCCTTATCTCGCCTCCTTTATTTGTATAAACTGACGTTCTAACTACTTCAGTACAGAGTACTTGCCTCGAAGGAGAAGAATGATAACAATAATGAAAATAGCAATAATAGTAATGATAAAGATAATAACAATAAGTAATAATAATAATAACATTGACAATAATAGAACTAGAATAGGATTGTAATTGATTCGTAATATAATGCCTTTTAGAGTACGCACGTGTGTGTGTGTGTACGCGTGCGTGCGTGCATGCAGGTGTGTGTGTCCGTGCGCGTGCGCGTGCGTGTTGCACATGTGTGTGTCATTCCTTAATATCTGTGTTGTCAGTCATCCTGCTATTTTAAACCAAGGTGAAGCGACTTCTCCACGGTCACAGGGAATATTATTTCAGGCGTAACGTGCCTAATACTAAAGAAAATCCAAGTCAGGCATAATCTGTAGGTGTAACAGGTGAACGGCCGGACAAAATACAAGTCGAATTATATGAAATTAACAAATATTGTTCTTCATTGTTTATGAATAGTGTAGTATTAATTGTTTATAATTCTGACTTTGATGCTATACCTATAATGCAATTGATTAGTCAAGTAACGACATATGTATAACGACTTCCCGTTGATGCGCTACAAAAGCCAAAAGCTAAAATATTAAGCTGCAAGAATCCTTCTTCATCACTAAATTCATAAGTCCGCGAAAACGTCCACCGTAGCGTAAGTTGCAAAAATGTACCGGAAGCAAAATTACATTGAGAAGCGTTGGAAAAGACGACGTAATCTGCAAAATGTCCTCAAAGGTCGATAGAAGTTACAACAGACTTCTCAGATTGGCAAGTAGTTTATGGTACACAAAGGATCGGCAGTGATGAGGGAGGAGGCAGTGCAGGAAGTCTTCAAGCCTTATGTAGCATAAACACACAAACAGTGTGGGTGTGGGAATATATGCATGTATGTGTGTAAATGTAAATAAACAAATGTATGTATATATATATATATATATATATATATATATATATATATATATGTATATATATATGTGTGTGTGTGATGTATATGTATATATACATATGTAAGATATATATATGTGTGTGTGTGTGTGTGTGTATGTATGTATAACTCAACAAAGTAAAAGTTTTGATTTGTTATTCCAGAGACATCGCACAAAAACGGAGTCACCTTAAGAAATGTTTGCATGAAGAAAGTTGGATGTCTAAAGGAATATAGTATTTGCAGAAAAAACTAACTCCGGACGGTGAAGAGAAACTTTTCCCAATATGCAGGGATATAAGTTCCTAGAAATCTACAAACCGTTTTGAACGTCCTTCCATATATGTTCATACAATGTAAGAAATAACCTTCAAGAGCTTCAGTGTGTAAAAACGTTTTTATGTTCATTAACATAGCCCACTATAATTTCTTTATTTTCAAATAGTAATTCACCGAATGGTCTCTCATTTATCAGATACAAAACAACTGGTTCAGTTTTGCTTAACGAACTTTCATTTCATTTTTGGTAAATAGTTTATGGAGGAACACAACATATATTATGCATTGGACACATGAAATAAGACTAATACATCAAGAGTGCTTCTTTATTTTAGTCAATCCCTATACATTTACTGAAGCCGTGGTTTCAAAATTCGCCTATAGATTCTTGAAGCTTAAACATAATGGTCAGATCCGAGAACCAAATATTTTCTTATTTTATTCAAAGCTTATTCTTTGATATCAATATAATGGACTTGATCTACAAATGAACTTAATATTCTTGGTAGTTTTGACGATATCCGCTTCTAAACCATCGCAGTCTTCGAACAAATCTGAATTTCAGGAGCAATGTTTTTAACGTCACAGAAACGCGTCATCACTTATCTTAAACGACTTTCTACTATATATCTATCGCTCTTCCTTACAGTCAATCATTTTCGCTTTCTGTGTTTCTTGCTCTCTCATTCATTCTTTCAATAACTTTTATTTATGCTTTCGGCGCCTTATCTCCTTTTTATTTGCCGGTTGGGAACCATAAGTACCATTCGCTTCCGAGGACTGCCGGATTATCTAAAATTCTCGATTCAAAGTCGCAGGATTCTCTAAACTAGCTCTTATGTACTTCAGCCTCATCTATATCTCTGACATTATCTATAGAGAAAAAAAATCAACAGAAAAAATTCAGACAGATCTGAGAAAATATCAGCTGATTCCGCGTTCGGCGAGATGTCAGCACCGGTCACTTGCCTATTGTGACGTCATCAAGATTTCCCGCGTTTTTTTTTTTCTTTCTTTCTCTCTTTTTCTTTTTCTTCATCCGGAGATTCACATTTGGTGATTTTAAAGGCGATTTCCGTCAAAACTCCTTCTCAGATTCATTCTTTGACCATTATTACTATATGATATCAAAGAACAAAAATGGGTCTCCTCTCCCATTACCTCTAAGAACATTATTAAATTTAGTATACAGAGGCTTCACCATCTTGGCCGCGGGTATTACACGGTGCCGACACAGGCTTCAGTGGTGTCAGTAACAGACACTGTGGTTGTGGGGGCTTCGGTCGTCGTCTCCTCCTGACAGGCCTTAACGGTGGCTTCTTCTGTGGTTGTAGTTGCAGTTGATGTGGTAGTAGGGACTGTTGTAGTTGCAGAGGTTGTGGTTGTAGGGGCCGTTGTTGTAGTTGATGTAGTTGGTGTGGATGTAGTTGTTGATGTAGTTGGTGTGGTTGTAGTTGTTGATGTAGTTGGTGTGGATGTAGTTGTTGATGTAGTTGGTGTGGATGTAGTTGTTGATGTAGTTGGTGTGGTTGTAGTTGTTGATGTAGTTGGTGCGGTTGTAGTTGTTGATGTAGTTGGTGTGGATGTAGTTGTTGATGTAGTTGGTGTGGATGTAGTTGTTGATGTAGTTGGTGTGGTTGTAGTTGTTGATGTAGTTGGTGCGGTTGTAGTTGTTGATGTAGTTGGTGTGGTTGTAGTTGTTGATGTAGTTGGTGTGGTTGTAGTTGTTGATGTAGTTGGTGTGGTTGTAGTTGTTGATGTAGTTGGTGCGGTTGTAGTTGTTGATGTAGTTGGTGTGGTTGTAGTTGTTGATGTAGTTGGTGTGGTTGTAGTTGTTGTAGTTGGTGTGGATGTAGTTGTTGATGTAGTTGGTGTGGTTGTAGTTGTGGTAGTAGATGTTGTAGTTGGTGTGGTTGTCGGAGGTGTGGCCATTTTTGTTGTTTGTGGTGTCGAAGATGTACTAGATGTAGTGGAAGTGGTTGTGGTTGGTGTGGTGGTAGTGGGTGTAGTTGTAGTTGACGTGGTTGAAGTGGTTGTAGTTGTTGAAGTGGTTGTAGTTGGTGTGGTTGTTGTTGACGTTGATGTAGTTGGTGTGGTTGTTGAAGTGGTCGTAGTTGGTGTAGTTGTTGAAGTGGTTGTAGTTGGTGTGGTTGTGGTTGAAGTGGTCGTAGTTGGTGTGGTTGTTGACGTGGTTGAAGTGGTCGTAGTTGGTGTAGTTGTTGAAGTGGTTGTAGTTGGTGTGGTTGTGGTTGACGTGGTTGAAGTGGTCGTAGTTGGTGTAGTTGTTGAAGTGGTTGTAGTTGGTGTGGTTGACGTGGTTGAAGTGGTCGTAGTTGGTGTAGTTGTTGAAGTGGTTGTGGTTGACGTGGTTGAAGTGGTCGTAGTTGGTGTAGTTGTTGAAGTGGTTGTGGTTGACGTGGTTGAAGTGGTCGTAGTTGGTGTAGTTGTTGAAGTGGTTGTAGTAGGTGTGGTTGTAGTTGAAGTAGTCGTAGATGCTGTCAAAAAATAAGGATTAATCGTTAAGGTATTAGCTCACTCAGCGGAATTTCCTGCAGTTTTTCAAAAGATTATCAAACTCAGTTGGGGAAACTAGAAGACCCGGAATTGACTATATCTTGCAATTCCTTCAAACTTTCATTTTACTTCCTTTGAAAGTTTTTCTTACAAGAAAAAAAAAAAATAAAATAAAAACAACAAAAAAAACAGGGATTTATGACATGACATCAGCTCAGCAGCGAAAACTAAACCATAAGAACATTACTTTGCTGTGTGCAGGTGCAACCCGACGTTGTCTGCAGCTCAGGATAATTCTGCGCACCGTCCACACTCTTGCAGACGAGCTTGACGCAGTTCTCGTCGATCCGGTCGAGGACGGCGCCGCCCCACTTGAGCTGGCCGTTGAACAGACACTGGCTCTTGGTCTGGCGGGTCTGGGCGTGGAGGAGGAGCTCGAGGTCCTCCGCCTCCTGCTCGCCCGGGAGAGCCCTGGCGGCGATGCAGCTACAGCCGTCGATGGGCATCAGCTGCACCGTCGGGTTCCCGTCGGCGGACCACTTGCACTTGAGCTCAGTGCATTGCTCCGGCAGAGACTCGATGGTCTGCGAGATGATGTTGGGAAAGCGTGCAGTTTTGATTGTATATAGACCATAGACTGCTTATATTTTTTCAATATTTTCATCATGATACCTATATTGTGTTCAGACTTTGAAGGCATGTTACTCATGACTTTACACAAAACCATTATCAAATTGCAGCGTAAGTTTGGAGTACTTACCGCGCCTCCCCAGTATGTAACGCCGTTGTACTCGCATGTCCCAGTTCGGAGGTTAGCGCCCTTCACTACTCCTAAGGATTGTAGTTGTTAAACTTTTCCTTCATTGCAACCAATGCCTTCTTTTCCCGTAAGTTCATTTATTATATATCAACTCTGATAATTTGTGTGCTAGTATGTGTTTATTTACGTTTTATGTTGTATATCTCTCTTTCTCTCTCTCTCTATATATATATGTATACACACAATCTATGCATGTGTCAGAGTGTATGTAAGACATATAGATTGTATTTAGCACAAGCGCACATACACGCATGCGCGCACGAGCATAGATGTGTGTATGTATGTACATATAGACATATATTTGTATACATATATATACATATGCACAGATATATGTGAGTTTGTGCATAAATATACATAAAAGAGAAAGTTACGGGGCGGAGGGAGAGATAGATTGGCACGGAGAGACAGAAAAAGAGAGAGAGTTGGTGGATGGATGAGAGATAAGAAAAAAAAATATCACAACGAATTGCTATGCCGCAAAAATAAGTATATGTATGTGTGTGCGTACATGTGCATTTTGTATCTACGCGTTCCTCTGCACGATCATAGAAGCAACACCCACCTGCAAGCACCAGGCCGGCGAAAGCAAGACAGAGCCAAGGAGTAACACGAGCAGCCATGGTGTGAGTGGTTGGCGAGGGATTGTGCCTGACTCGGTTCCACGGCCGGCTTATATAGCTCATGCATGCCTGGTCTTCGTCGCACTTTGTATGCAGGTGGGAACACTTGTACTATTGCTGGGAGAAGCTTTTGCTTGGGGCTATAATCATGAGCAGTGATTGGTTAGTGATGATTACTCCTTTTTGCAGCTGCTCAAACACCTTTCACGATGGGTAGATTTTGCCATTGCTTGTCGAGCGGTGGTAATGATATATGTACTTTTCGGGTTGATTTAGTTCTTTCACTCAGTCATATGGTTGGCTTCTAAACGTCTGCATGGATCAAAAGAACAAATTCAAATATCGTATATGTTGCCTTTATATTTAAAAATATATTTTTTTAAGCATCTTATTCTCTTAGAATAGGCGCAACCAAATAACTCAGTCAGTAACATGTGTATCTAACAAACTTAATAATGTCATTAGACGCGTGACTCAGTACTACACATTACCTGTTTGCGCAAGAATGATGTCACGTTTGAGAAAGGAAGCTCTCTCTGGCACTGTTGGGTCATGCCGCAGCCCGTCTATATGTTTACCACATAACCCTTTATACATACACACACACAAACACACACACACATACACAAAGAAACACTGAAGGGAAGTACAGGAAAACACACGAATATGCCGAAGGCCTTTTCGCATTTACTGCTTCATCGGGGCTTGCCCTGATGAAGCAGTAAATGCGAAAAGGCCTTCGGCATATTCGTGTGTTTTCCTGTACTTCCCTTTAGTGTTCTACTTGCAATTTGTTCGACATGAATTCCACACAAACAAACACACATACACACACGCGCGCGCAAGTATATATATATATTGTAAGTGTAGCAGCCCAGTTAAGAAAGTAAAGATGAATAAAAATGTTTATAAGACTATGTGCCAAAGTCGCGTACATAGACGGGTATTGGAACTCGGTTGTTTACTTCAACGGCAGCTGTGGTCGCCTAAACAGCACCAGGCCCTATTGTAGGGGTTTGGAGGTAAATTATATTCTTTGTACTAGTTTATCCATCAAATTATTATGATTTTATGTTGTTTAAGTTTGTTAGCATTCACTAATGTGCTTTAATTGTGTTAATTGTGAGAACTATTACGAATTTAATAGTATATGACCACGTGGCCACAGTTGTTACGTTCCAAATTGTTTTGTTTTCAGTTTTACGTATGATTACGGATATGGAAGATGTAGAAACTGTATTCATCAGTTATGGAGAATAAAGGAAGCAACAACAACCATGATTTTTCTCCAGAATCCATAGATGTATTCATTCAGTAAACCAACTCCAAAGTAAAAAGGGCGAGGCCGCAGCGACATATATATATATATATATATATATATATATATAGAGAGAGAGAGAGAGAGAGAGAGAGAGAGACGTAATAATCATGAAGGCAACTGCATAATTTATTTTTCTGTTCGTCGTGTTCTAACTGGGAGACTAAAAGCTCACTCATCTTGATCAAAAAATATATCTTAGTCAGTTTTGAAATTACTTTGTTATATCTCTTAGGTTTGTGATTTTTTCTCCCTCTTTTTTATTAAAGAATAGAATCTGATGTCCTCGTACAGTGCCTTTGTTGTTATGAAAATAGGACTTACTCAGCATTTCAATTTGCTGACAGAAGTAGGCCGAGTAAAATTGACGACATTTCCACCTTTTCAGCAAATCGTGGAGAGAGAGAGAGAGAGAGAGAATGAGTGAGTGAGAGAGAGAAAGAGAGAGAGAGAGAGAGAGAATGAGTGAGAGAGAGAAAGAGAGAGAGAGAGAGAGAGAATGAGTGAGTGAGAGAGTGAGAGAGAGAATGAGATATGCAGACAGATAAACAAAAAGAGAGTGAGAGAAAGACAGATAGGCAGATAGACTGACACACAGACAAATAGAGAGAGAGAAATGAACAGAGGTAGAAAAACAGAAAGAGAGTGAAAGGGGAGATGAACAGACAAACATACAGAAAAAAGACAGACAGACAGGCACACAGACAAACAGAGAGAAGGAGCAAAAGAGGGAGACACAAACAGACAAAAAGAGAGAAAGATACAGACAGACCCAGTAAGAGAGAGAGAGACGACAGACATAGAGAAAGAGAGACAGACAAACAGACAGAAAGATAGAGAGAGAGAAACGAGCAGACAGACAGAAAGAGAGATTCAAAGAAAAAGGGAGGGAGACAAACAGACAGATCGACAAACGTAAAGACAAAAAGAGAGAGGCGAACAGACAAACAGATAAAGAAAAGGAGAGAGAGAGACAGAGACGAACAGACAGACAGATAAACAGAAAGGGATTAAGACGGATCAGTAATATTGAGGATATGTACTGTACAACCTGTAAACAAAACAACAAAGTAAAAATAAACACGAATGTACACTAATATACCGGACTTCCCGCTGTATTCCTCCTTCATATGACACAAGAGACAGAGAATGACTTGCACGTTCAATAACTATCAGGTCACAACCGTGATTAGGCGTGAAATGATAATCCCATGCTCCTCGGTGCGGTGTTCAAGGTGATAGTTGACTGCATTAACGCCACTTGTACTCAACCGTGGGATCAAGCCTCGTTGGGAACAGAGGTTTCGGATCAGCTTAGGGAAGTGGGCGTCAGTCAGTGCCAGAGAAGAACGTAGGCTCTCCTTTTGCTATGGTGATAGAGGACTATATGATGCTGGTCTATGCCAAGTCATATGTCCGCTATGCCTATTGTGGTCAAACATAGTAAAGTGTAGACGGAGATAAAAAGAAACAAGAAAAATTGAAGATGAACGCAACGTTTCGAACTCGTCAAACGGAACATTACCTTCGTTTGTAGTTCTTATTGTGTTTCTTTTTATCCTATGTATATATTTTAACACGCATCAGAAAATGTACTATACAGTATAGCTCGCGCCTCTTGTGTCCTGGCGTTTTCTCTGACGACCAAACATTTCTGAGTGTGGAATGAATAATCTTATACCGTACGAAAAATAAAGACGCTGGAAAACCTCCCTGATATGATTTATTTCCTCCAGGAACTCCGGGATGCATAGTCTACAAGAAAAAAAATAAATAAATAAAAAAAACATTAAATTTGCATTCATAAGCTCCTCTGTTACGGGTAGAAAATAAATCAAACCATCTATATTTGTGGGTATTCCTTAGCGCGGTTGTCGTCACGATGGTCATTTTCAATGAAGAGGTGGGCAAGAACAACGGAGAAATTGCGGGGAATTTGCATATAGTCCAGCACCGAGATCCAAAATGGGTCAAAGACTACATAAAAAACGATTTATTTGTACAGTACTTTGGTACTGGAATATCTATATTTGCATATATAAATGTGTCAACACACACACACGCACACACACACACACACACACACATATATATATATATATATATATATATATATATATATATATATATATATATATATATAGATATATCACATGGAGTAATGCAATGCCGCATTGATATTGATAAATACCAACCCTCCCCGACCAGGACTCGAACCCAGGTCACTTCAAGTATGAAACCGGAGGGCCAGTACGAAACCAACCATGCCACAGGACCCATTGAAAGATATGTGCAACTAGGATCTCACTAGCTCCATAGGCATTACCTATCGACTCATACTTGAGTAATGATAGCGATTATGTGTGTAAAACTTCGCTACCATTACTCAAGTATGAGTAGTAGGTAGCAATAGCAGTAGTTGTAGCACGAGCAATAGCAATAGTCATAGTACGAGCGGGAGGCACAGAAGTGTGTAGTAGAAAGAAGGGTACTAACAAGGTAAAGCAGTCGGGAATAAGGGTAAAATAACGAAAAGAGAAGAGAATTAAAAGTAAAGATAAGATACCAAAATTACAGTAAAAGATCAGTAAAAGTAGAGTAAACAGATCAGTAAAAGTCCAGATTAGAGTACAGAAAATGTTCAGTAAGAATAAAACTGTAAACAAAAGGTAAACACTCGGCGGTAAAAGCCTCGAATAAGTTACGCTACTTTCATGCACATATACATATACTAAAAGACTAAGAATGATAAACTTAAAGGAAAAAAAGAACTAGTATTTAAGATAACTATCACTTGGTTTAAACTTATGTTATTTCAGCTTCATCTGCATTATGTATTATTATAATTGTCTTCATTTATGCTTAAGCTACCACGTTCAAGTCCGACCTTTGGTGTAGTTTGCAGAGATACAAACAGTTCTAGTTGACACGGTTTATCTCAATAAAACAAAATGGAAGCAAATAAAATACATATTGTTCTTGAAATGATTCATTCCATATAAAAATATCAAAATCATTAATAAAACGCTATAAAAAATTACATTAAAAAACAAATAAAATCATAGAGGAGTAAAATTGACATCAACGAATTTGTAAAACTTTCCCTGATAAAATGAGATGATAAAATAAGTCATTAGTAGACGGTAAAAACAGAAATTAAAGAATTTACTCAGAGCAGTAATATTTCAAATCTGAAATCTAATAATAATACATGAAATATTCATAATACTAAACTGATTAAAACTAAAAATCAAATACATGAGCCCAAAGTAAAAAACAAATGAACTATCAAATACAATTACAAGAAATAAAAGCGAAAAAGAAAAGAAAACGGAATGAAGGGGAACTACGGGGATCAGGCGCAGGTGACACAGGTGCGGACAGGCGGATGGGGAGAGTGCCGCGCCCCTCTTGGTGAAGGATGCATTCCACATTATATACATACACACACACACACACACACACACAAATATATATATATATATATATATATATATATATATATATATATATATATATATATATATATACATATATATATATATATATATATATATATATATATATATATATATGTATATGTATATATATATATATATATATATATATATATATATATATATATATATATATATATATGTGTGTGTGTGTGTAAATATATATATATATATATATATATATATATATATATATATATATATATATATATATATATATATATATATATATTTATATATATATATTTATTTATAAATAT